AGAGTTTGATTATTTTATGGTTCAATAGAACATTTCTTCTATCATCAGGTGATGTGTATCATTGAGAAAATTACTTTTGCAATTAAAACACTGCAGTCAGTGTAACAAAAAAATACATTTTGCTGTTAAATATTACAGTACAACAGAAAAAAAAATCCTATAGAAAAATTTAGCTTTTCTGTTTTCTGAGCAGCCCAGTGAACACACGTTTAAACTGTTACTTAACATAAGATCCAGAATATGTTGAACACTATATTTAAATGCCCTGGTAATACATTTGAAATATTTTGATGCCGATTTAGGAGGAAATCCTGAAGAAACTGAACGACACAATGAAGGAGTCTATTAGCGCGCTCTCAATTCAGATGAACAATCACTTCCAGGTAATGTGGATGTTTAGAAATTAAAAATGATTTTGCCAAAATGTACTCTGCCTGTCACATTGGTGTTGCACAATAGCGCAATCGTGTCCCCTAGAACAGGGTTTCCAAACTATTTAGCCCGTGACCCCCAAAATAACGGTGCCAGAGACGGGGACCCCCACTGTCCCTGGAAGTTGTTAAAGCATTTAAAGCAGCACGCACTAATAGGCATATCCAAACACTGGGATTAGTAAACACAAAAAAACACAGCAGCCTATAATAGTTGTATTATTTCATTGTGTCTGTGTGCATTTTTATTTACAAAGAGCAACAGACACCTACATTGTTACATTCTTGTGCCAAAGTTACATTAGAAAGATTTTTTACAAATTACTTTCATTCATCACAGATCTCACTTTATTTTAAATTCAACACTTTTTGTATATAATTTTACAATAATGGGTAAGTGTGCAATTTTAAGTCACTTCAAATGTTTATTTTGTTATGTAAGGTCATCTTGCGACCCCCCTCTCAGTGTCTGGCGACTCCCCAGGTGGTCCCGACCCCCACTTTTGAACGAACATCAAGGAGGTGCAGGGCAGTGCAAAAACAGCAGGCTAGGAAGAAGATATACCTGCACACCTGCAAAAAAAACAAAATTATTACCTGAAGAAGACCTCTGGGGGAACGTTGGGATTGTGATGGAATAAAAACTTTTGTGGCATTTGAGCAAGTGTGCAGGTATATCTTGTGTCCTCAATAGTGTCCCCTAAAAATGTTTACTACACAATCAGCACATTTCACTAATGTACTTTATGTGGTTAGGTAATCTAACACGTCCAGTCCTACATACAAGCCTGTGATATCTAAAGATACAAACGGAGTTCACACATGGATGTTATTTTGAAAATTTGATGTATTTATGACCATGGCAGAACAAAAAAAAGACATTTCCCCACAAGACAGGAAGTTCACATATATCTGCATACAATATGTGTGAAATGTCAGGTTTAATCCCAGCCTGAAAAAACTTCCATGCTAATATTCATCCATAGAAATATAGTCACCTACTAAGAGGATATTACAAGTTTTTGCTTTGCCAGATTCTGAAGCAGATTATCTTCACACCAAAGTGCAAAGACATTTTTTCCGAGGTTGAAGTTTAACTTTTTGTGTTTTAGATGTCAAAAAGGAGCTTGAGACGGTGACAAAATACTATCAAGAACTGAAGAAAAACACACATGAAGGACATCACCAGTTAGGTAAAACATTTTTTTTTAAAGTAGATAATGCTCTGATTTTAAACTGTAAGAAATTGCTTCACTTATTTTTATAACAGTTGCTAACAATGCTTCTATTCACACTAGTGCTGATCAACCCGGCCCGTCATCTGCACAGGTAAGTTTAAGTAAAAGTATGATTAAAAGTAACATTCTGGTAGACAATGAAATGGTAATATGAAAGTTATCAGTAGAATATCACAACCTTTGTGTTTAACTCTCTTGTGGATATTCAGGTTTACCTGATGCAGAGAAACAGCTGAGGCCTGTTTAACCACTGAGGGTCCCACAGGGAACATTGAAAAGTCAAATGAGGCTTCTGGATTTGGTCTCAACCTTTTCTTCAGGTTGTTATTTCTGCTCTCTTTTTGTTGACATGTTTGATGTGAGTTTCAGAGATGTTAGATTAGTGATAGGACAGTTTCCTTTGATTAGTTGTGGTGGGCCTCAGGCCAAAAATTGCAATGGGTGGTGGAGGGTCGGGGGGATGTTGTGTTTTCATGATAATCGTTTATTTTTTCGGCCTTTTTGCCTTTATTAGATAGGACAGCTGAAGAGAGACAAGAAATATTGGGAGAGAGAGTGGAGGGATGACATGCAGCAAAGGGCCAAGGTCGGATTCAAACCCACAGCTGCTGCTGAGGAATGTAGCCTCCGTACATGACATAACCGTTAAGCCAATCCAGCGCCCTTTCATGTTTCTACCATTTTTCAGCGAGACATCAACTTCTTTAATAATTCAGGTTTTTTAATTCTTGAAGATGTGTTTTTTTGTGAGTGTTTTATTTTATGAATTTAGAAGTGGATGATTTGATGTACTCCCTGCAGTTTCACTGATTATTACTGCATCTTATTAAATCTTGAACTTAATCAAAGAATTAAGATTTTAGGCATTTCAAGGGCTGATCTTGTTCTTTTGTGATGATTAAGGACAAGACTGTTTTTACTGGGATACAAAACTTAAATCTGTGATGCTATAGTAAGGGTGAAATAGAAGTTAATTTTATTATTAGACCAACTTTTCTTGCTTCCTGATATGAATTGTACAATGGTTTTTTTAAATGTTTTTAAGTCTTCACTGATTATAAATTAATTATAGCACCTCATGCAATAAATCTCCATAAAATGTAAATGTTGTTACTGAAGTGTCTGATGTAATCAGGACAGAGGTAATATAAGTTTACAATGGGCGCATCAGAGGAGTATCTGAATGAGATTTAGGAGCCCTCTCAGTGGAATGTATACAATGGGGCCCCTGTATCCAGAGAGTTGCCCAGGACTTCTGGACAAGAGATTGTATCTGTGACCTGTGTTGTCCTTTGAGTTTATGACATACATATGACATACATATGACTAAGACAGAAACCCCTGCAGTTGTATGAAGAGGGTGTCCTGAAAACAAACAGATGTCCCTATGTTGTTCTCCTGTGAGGTGTGTCCATAAATACCAGAGTTTCTGTGTGTAAGGGGAGAGATCACTTTTGGCTGTGTCTCTCCCAGGTCGAACTATGGCGAGCCTGGCGATGCTGTAACTTGTTTGTCAATAAAATGATCATTATGTAAGCAAGTCAGTGTCAACGGAGAATTTCTTCATCATCAAACATGTCAACAACAAGGAAATCCACATCAATTTTGGCGTCACGGAACAGGATCAGTTGGGGCCTTCTGCAGGGGACCACAGCTTGTTATTATTTCCATCACTTCGTAAGTTTTCTTTTTTTTTTTCTGCATATATTGCGGAGCTGTTTCTGTCGTCTATCGGCAATTTTGGCCGCACTGTCAAAGAACTGAAGTGCAATGATGTGTTGATGTTGGAGTAATTCTCTGTCTAAATTGGGGTTTATTGAGTTAAAAAGTATATAGATAAAGGGGAATAAAATAAAGAAGAGATAATAAGAGAAGAAGAGATAAAAGTTGAAAGGTAATGATAGCATAAGCGCAACTAGTAACGAGACCAGTTAGCTAAAAAACTATGCAAGTTTAACAAGGACAGGGCCCGTATCCTCTTAACAGTAAGTCATGTGTAAATTAGACACTGAAGTGAAAGTTGGCTTTAAGAAGTAGTCAAATTTGAGTAAAAATAAAACAAAGGGGATCCCTGGCCAGGGTATTTGGATAATGATAAACGTATAATGTAGGAAAATAAAAGAGAAGAAATAAAGATGAGAAGTGTAAAGATGAGAAGTAAAAAGATGAAAGTGAAGATAAGAGTTTTGAGAAAAGTGGGAAAAAAGCGCTGAGTAAAGGAAAAAGTGTGCATTGAAGCATGCAGTGTGAAGTAATTTGTTAAAAGACAATTTGTTAAAAGTTTGGCCAAAGTAAAATTTGATAGAGGAAAATTATAAATGAGTCGACTTCAAAATTGAACTGAAATGTGTGCCTCGCTGAGGCGCGCTGTTCTTGAATGTGTGCGCGCAAGCTCTATACAGCCTGAAGTGTTGTGTGTGTGGCTGCTCTGTCTCTGTCTCTGTCTGTGTCTTGTCTCTTGTGTTGTGATTTGGATGGGTTTTGAGAGGTCTGTGTGGTGTGAAGATGTGTATTTGATCCGGAAATGTTCTTGTATATGTGTGATTGATAAATAGAATAGATGTATTATTAAATAGGCATATGTAGCAGGTGATTGGTTAAAAGGCGATTTAGTAACTTATAAGAGGGGACATTTTTGCTTCATCAGTGTTAAAAATATGAGCCCTTTGTCTAAGGGGACGTTTATATATCCGATTTGATAAAAAATATGAGCCTTTGTTTCAGAGGACTTTTACTTATCTGATCTTCATCAGTGATAAAAATCTATGAGCCCTCAGAGGATGTTTGTTTAATCTGATAAATACACATGAGCCTAATAAAGGACGTTTATACATAGCATAAGTGTATATAGTATCTGTTTTTAACAGAAGTGGAGAGACCAGCGAGGATAGTCTGTACCCATTCAGGTAGCAAGATTAGAGAAAAGAACAGAAAAATTCCTGATAAAGTTTAGAACTGCCGGCTGATTGGAGTGTGAACTTCTCTTTCTGTCTGTTGGAGCGTATGTGTGTGACCACATTATGCTGCGAATTTTGTCTGTTCAAAAGAACATATAGTTTGGTTTAAAATAGGTGAAGATGTCTAGAAACCAGATTCAAACGATTCTTTGATGCCGTTATTTTGCTTTTCTTATTGCCTTACGCCTCAGTCTCTTTTTCCGGTCTCACATAAAATGTGCTTTTATTTAGAAAAACTGCAAAGGGACTTCTGCTACATCGTAAAGTTATGGGAGTAAATACATACAGCTAAAATAACAACCAAGAGGAGAAAATGTTACACTTATGCTGTTTTGTGAGGTGGATTTATCTTAAAAACCTGTTTGGGTGACTTACTCTCTTTCAGAAGGATGCTACATGCAGCATGTTTCCATGTGTGAGCTCTGAGCTCTGACTCAGTGATGAGTGACAGGAGGATTAAATGCAAATGTAACCTTACTGTGCTTCAACTGTAATCAAATAGCTATGATTGGCTTAGTTGTCACTTAATAAATCTTACTTGAAAAGTTTTCTTTTAAATGACTCCACTAGTAAAAAGTGTACATTTTAGTGAAAGTAGGGGTGTCACAACAACCACGGTGAGATGCGCTGTCTGTGCATTAAATGCACTAGGTTTGGACCATAGGGTTTGGAGACGATGTTAACCCTTTGACAGCCAGGTTAGACTGGAAGCCCTTGCTGAAATTAGGAGGGGGTCCAAGGCGTTGCCTCACATAGAAAGCCAATTAGATTTACTCCTTTTGAAGAGGAGTGGAGAGAGAGCCCTTCCTCCTCTCTCTTCTCTCTGTGGGACACAGGGAAGGAAAACACACCCCCAGTAGGGAGACAGCTTTGCAATAGATAAAAAAAAATAGATAAGATTAGAGATATGTGTGCATATTTCACTGAATTGTTATTGCATTGTGTATATGAATTCAGAGTGACCCTAGACAACTCAACTTTTGTTTTGTTTCTTTTTTCTTCTCTGTTTTTTACTATGTTGTGTGAACTGGAGACAGATGGATTGTGTCTGAACTGGATCAGCAAAAAGGCAGATGAGGAGAGATCTGGCATTACTTCACAAACACTGGAAGCTTTGCGGATGACAGCATGTAGGGATCCTGAATCCAGCTTGATCAAGGCCAGTGCGGTTTTATCCACAAACTCTTTCAACAAACACCTGAACTTTTATCTGTGTATACATTTTTTATAGTCAACATCTTTGATACATGTTTAGTCTGTTTTCGCATAGAGGCTTACATTGTTTCTTCTATGTATCACATTACAATTATATAGGAGGAAGTCTTGGCAACAGACTGACTAATTGAAGCATTTGGTCAATAATGGAGTATTTTTGATTTGATTGATCATTTATGGAAAAGTTGATTTGATTCAAAACGTGAGTGCTGTGAATGCTGGTTTCATTGTCTGAGTATGTCTAGCTTGACCTGGGCTATTTTGAGATGGAACATTGACATTATTTCCATAATTTTAAGATAAATAAGTGTGATTAGATGCACTAGGTGATAAACAAGTGCTTTTGCTTTCATAGTAAGAAGCTTGGTCTCCTTTGGGGTTGGCAAATTCATTCACTTCAAGTGTGGTAACAGTACTTTCTAAATAGTTTGACTAATAGTTTGACTTACAATACGAGGAACTAAGAGGGGTCATTGTTAATGTCAAAGATGGACACCAAAATTACAAATCAATCATCTGTTGATGTAGTACAGAAGACTAATCCTCTTGTTAAAGATATTCCAAAATATTCAGAAAAATGGAGTAAGCGTT